GGCAAAAAAGGTGACCCCGGGGGGCCCGGCTGGTAGCCTACGTAGCTGAAATCACTCGAATGCCAAAGGGTCCAAATTAAAGGGACAAAAAAAAGAACTAACCCTGGGATCTGTTCTCGTGGCATAGGGGATGCCAGTGATCACCACAGCACGCCCAGCCCTGTCAGAAAAGTCAATGCCCTCGCTAACCTGCAGAGTACAGAAACACATGACTTGAGACCCTAGGCATCACAAAAAGTTGAGGATAACGGACTCACCCACCTGAATCGGACATCACCTTTTTTTTTTTTTTTTTTTTTTATAAATAAAATGAACCTCTCTTGAAAGTTGCCGAATACCAGACAATGAAAACATGCAATATGTGCTGACAAGCAGCAGGGAAGAACATGCACACGTTGTCACGTACACATACATCCATTCCCAAATGTCCAACAAGCTTGGGGCTTCTTACTTGCATCTCTCAGCCGTACACGAGAACACACACCGACACAAGCACATCCACATAAACAGGCAGTAGAATGCAGAGACACACACTATAAACGTGTTCCATCGTAAATGTTGGCAATAGATCATTTCGTCAGACTCGCACCATCATACAGCTGTAATGACCTGCAAAATCACAGACTGAGAACTGTGCCGATTTCTGAGTTTTTCGGCTGGAATGTGTGTTTGCTGAGGTATGTTTTCCTGAGATAAATATATTTATATATATCGTCACAAACAGAACTGCCCAGTAAACCGTAGGCAGAGAGAGAGAAGAGGACAACAAACGAGGGGCTGTGATATATATATATATATATATATTTTTAACAGGACCTTATGGCCCCGACTCCTTTTCCATTCTGGGGAGCATCAGTCCGGTTCCTATTCCGCCGGCAAGTCAAAAGAATAATACATCATAATTACAGACACACGCTTCCTTCCGTACGGCCGAAGGACCCCTGACCAGCATTGATTACTCCATCCGCATGGAGGATTGACTGTCAGCTTGCCCTGCTATACCCTTTTGCAAGGAACATGAGTATGGACGAAGCACAGAAATCCAGAATGCAGAATCACACTGAAGTCCAAGTACTCAAAGCCAAAGCAGATAGCACATGGAACCGAGTAACCATCCAATTGAGAATGATACAGAAGAATCGTGAGTCAATGTCCATGCCCAACAGGGCAACACCAACAGCATAACCCAAATGTAGCTCTCTCTTGTGAATGGCGCCAGRCGCCCTATCTACTCTACAGCCTATCCTACAACTACAGCAATGAACAGCAACCAGACAACTTGACTACCAGCGAGTGATGATGTCAACCCCAATGCCGTATTTCACCATCACCAGGTACGTGTCCTCTTCCCCACACTCTCCCTTGTACCCACACAGCGCCCTTCACCTCCGAAGTACCACCTTCGCCCTCACCTCCCCTGCACCCTCTTGCGGCCCAGGCTATGGCCGCCAGTGCCCTCAGTGCAGGCAGCGCCCTACCGCCTAGCGCTGGCCTGCTTGCTCTTAGCGCAGCACTGCCTTGCACAGCGCAGCACACATGCATCCGCGCAGCRTGCCCGCATGTGCCAGCATTGGCCAAGATGYCTGCTGCCTCGCCCTGCTTGCCTATATGCCAATGCAGCAAGTGGGCGGCCTCCCTTCAGCCTGCGACCGGGACCCAGAGGCTGAAGCTTTCCCGATACAGTTGGGCCCCGAAGCAATGCAGTTGCTCCTCTCTTCTCAAGGCYTGCGGCCAGATTCAGATAGTGGGCCGATTTTCCCTTTGGCATTTYGGCCTCTCTACCCAGCATGCATTGTCGGCCTCACGTTCSAGTGCCCAGGGCCTAACTAACTCAGAGGCCCTGGGCATTTCAGCATTTGCTGAAATCCGACACTCGGTGCACTCCAACCAACTGGCGTGCTGCAACTGTATAGACCCCACTTCATGAAATGTTGGCCGAGAGGGCTCTTGTTGATTTGCTGGCCCGCCTTCACTTAGGGCGGGCACTAGGCTTGCTGGGGCCTTAGCCCAGGACATGTACATCATGGCAAGGCCCCTACTTGAGGGCGCAATCCTCACACTTTCCTCTCAGGTCTGCTGCACAAAACCTGCCATATAGGTCCTGAAAACCAAGAAAGGATCTTGCCCCTTCAGCAACCCTCCTACCCCTCAACATGCCCTGAACCCCCACATTTTCTGCCCATGCATATGTATCATATGTACCATTCAGAAACTAGCGCACCTAGGTAGTCTGCTCTACGGGAGAGCGCGTCTGCAACCTTGTTGTACTCTCCCTTCAGGTACTCAAGCTTGAAGTCATATTGGTCTATGACCTCAATCCATCGCTTGAGTGCATCAGAAAGAGCCGGTTGAGTCTTGATCCATTTGAGGGTCTGATGATCAGTCCTCAGATAGAAGAACCTTCCCAAAAGGAAGTGTCTCCAATAGACAAGTGCCTTGTAGAAAGCATAGACTTCCCTTTCGTAGGTGGACTTAGCCAATTTCTTCGATGGCATCTTCTTACTCATATACTCAATCGGTCTCAACTTTTTCCCATCTTGCTGAGCCAGCATTGCGCCAATGCCGTATTGGCTTGCGTCAGTGGTCACTATGAAT